ACAGTATATCTGTGCAGATGAGAAGAGGTCGAGGGTTTTAACATTTGATAAAATTCATGGAAGCAATTGAGAGGTTAGGGCTGAGTTAGGATGCCCTTTGTCCTCTCCTCTCCTCTCCTCTCCTCGTCTTCTGGGCTTTAATTTTTCTGATATTTATATTTATAATGAACAACTTTGTTTGGCAAAAGGCCAAGGCCAAAATATATTATTATTATTACAAAAATAAATAAATAAAAGGCCAACAAATATATTTAATAATTCGTGCATTCCAAATGATATTTTGCTTTTCAGACGGGCAAGGCCAGTCGCTCAATTATATTATTTTAGCATGATGATAAATGCGCCATATTCAGCTTTTAGTTGTCTTGTATTCAGCTATTCACTGTCTATATTCAGCTATTCACTATTTATATTCAGCTCGTGATTGTACTTTTTATATATTTGTGCCTTTTTTATAAAACTCTCTATCGTTTTGAAAAAAAAAAAAATGCGCCATGTAAATATTCAAGTTCTAAAAAGCATCCCCCAAGGTATTGGGCACAGATTTTACTAGGACTGGTATTTTTTGACGAAAACCGAACCGAACCGATGTGAAAATAAACCAAACCGAACCGAATCATGTTTAACGGTAACCGAAAATCGGTTACCGAAATGTTATCGGTTCGGTATCGGTTCCGAACCCATAAGGGCCGATAACAATACATTAAAAAAAATTTAAAATACTGCTTTTGAATAGGTATTAGGTATAGTATATTAGTAAAATAAAACAATTTGGTCTTAAATCTTAATTAATCTAACTATCTAAAAAAAAAGGACAGACCTTCAAATTTCAATCGTCTCTTTTAATTAGGGATGGACCTTCAAAATTTTAGGGTTGGACCTTCATTTCAATCGCCTCCTTCGTTTATCAATCATCTGTTCACTCCTGTTCACTCTTTTAATTAGGACTGAACCTTCAAATTTCAATTGCCTCATTCGTTCATCAATCATCAGTCACTTCAGAAATTCAGATTGCCTCACCTTCACGGCTTCACGGCTTCGTTCGTCAATCTGTCGTTCACACCTTCACGGCTTCATCGACTCACCTTCGCCTCACCTTCCGATCGCCTCTGTTACATGGTTGTTGTTGTTGTTGTTATTTAATATTTTAATATGCTGCTGATGTTCATTTAAGTTTCTGTTCATTAGATCATGTTCATTAGTCCATTTGTTACTTAATCTGCTGTTGTTAATTCATGGTTGCTACTAGCCTACTGATGCTCTGTTTATTATGTTGCTCTGTTAATTAGCCTCGGTTTTTTCGGTTTATTATCGGTTTACACCAAAACCGAACCGTTTTATCGGTAACCGACTTTTCGGTTACTGAATGCTTATCGGTTCGGTTTTGGTTCGCGAAGTAGTGAAACCGATAGAGTTCGATTCGGTATCGTAATTATGTTATCGGTTCGGTTACCAAACCGATACCACCCCTAGATTTTACACAGTTGGCTATTCTGAATAAAACTACTACGTAGAATGTGCAATGGACGTAAAATATTATAATTGTATTATAAATTTAATATATAAATAACGTTAATCATTTAATATTATAAATAACGTATAACAATGGACGTTAATCATTTTGCTAAAAAAAAGTTAATCGTGATTTTGTCATTGTTTTCAAAACCAAATCGGATCAAAAAATCTGATCGGATGGTCCAGAAATCGATTTATCGACCAGGCTGGTTCACTTAAATAAAATATTTGCTAAAGAAACCGGTTAACACCAGTCGGTCAAACTTGTTGTATCTTTACGGTGTTTAAAATAAAATTTGTTTCGTTTATAACTATTCTTATATAAATAAAAATACAAGTTTAAATTAAATATAGATTTATAAATTCTTTATCATTTAGTTTAAACATTGAAAAAACTTAAATTTTTTAGATATTTAATTAAAAGATTTATTATAAAAAAAAAAAGTGCTATATATATTAAAATATTAATAAATTAAATTTTGATACAACTAATAAATCATTGAATAATAACTTGATCTGTTTGAAAACGGTCCTCTTCTAAGAACTTGGATTTACCGTACATTAATAAAGTTGTAATGCAACATTATTTTATTCATATAAATATTAATAAAATAAGAAATATAATTGTTCATAAATCATTGAATATGTTATCATAAAAGCATTCTTAATATGTTTATTTGAGTCTGACTACAACACATTTATTGTAATAAAGTACTTTTAATATTAAATATTATATTTAATTCAATAATCGATTTGGTCTGGTCAAACTAACTCATAATTCGATCACCCTGGATCAACATCAGTTGTGTCGTGTTTTTGGATGATTGTAAGTATCAACTAACGGTGAGCATTACCCTAATTTAATCACTTGATTGATCAAATGTAATTTTCTTATTTTCCTTAAATATATGTAATTTATGAAATAAAAAATATTTTATGATTCATGTATATATTAAGATTATAAATTGTATATATAAATATAAGTTAATTATTTCTTACTTTATGCATATTTATGATAAAAAAACATATTAATTTTTTAAAATTTAAAATAATTCCATTGATTTTGCAATTGTCGCGGTAACTCAATATCAATATGAGTTACTATATAGCAGATATATTTTGTATACCAATTATTATATTTGTAAATATTATAATTTTTTTGCTTATATATATAAGTACTTATTATACAAGTACTATATAAATAAACTAATTTTGAAAAATTAGCATTTACCATTACTTAACGCTTAGTTAAATTATTTTCTACCATTAATTTGTTATTTTTTTAATGAAACATGATAAACGCAAACTTTTTAAGATTATGATGATTTTATATGAAATTAAAACGCTGCAATTATTTGGTTTAGGATATTAATGCAAACGACTAATTTTATATATTAAATTATTGTGGAAAAAATAATACCAAAAATTATTGTCGTCTATTTTTGTATATATTTACATTTTTAAACAGATTTATTGATATGTAATTGTTTTCAAAAAGCATGACACATAAGTTGTNNNAAAAAAAAAAAAAAAAATAGACAATATTTTGGCCTTCAATCTTGAAAATTAAAGTGCACTATAAGAAGCCAAAAAAGCAGGATAATATTTAAGCATACAATTTTAAAACTAAATTTCATGCAAAAGGATAAAAGTTAATTTTAAATTTTTATGTAAAAAAAAAAATTTATAAGTCAAATTATTTCAACAAAAATGGAACTTTTCATTTTTGAATTATCCATAAACCTCATTCAATATATACATATTTTGATTTGTTGTTTGTATTTTAAAAAGGTTGAGTCTGCTCAAAATGAGTTTTATTTTCTTAATCATAGTTAATTTTGAGTTGTTCGTGGAATTTTGATGTATATTAAAATAATATTCAAATATATACATGTATTCATATATATATATATATATATA